TTTTATTAGGAACCAAGATTTTCAGTGTAAAAGACAAAGAAATATGAGATACACAAGATAGAATTAAAAAAAAAAAAACTCTGGTTTTTGAAACAAAATGTATTTCTTAGCTCTGCCTACTGAAAGGGCCTAGATACGTCAGTCACAATGAGCATACTTGGCATCCAGATATTAGTCTCTAAATACATTTTCCACTCAACAGAACTAAGGCTCCTCAGAGGAGAGGATTCCATGTCTTGGCAGGTGAGTTTCAAATATCTACCTGCCCCAGAAAACAAAGAAGTACTCAAAGACTAATAGGGGCATGTCAAAAGGCTACAGACTCCACTGGGGACCCACTGGGGTCATGTCAAAGGCTCTCACACCAAATGTGGTACAACTTGATTATATAATAACAGCTGTAATTGATGGAAACACATTAAATAAAACCACCCACATCCACAGCAATATCCAGATAAAGAGAGGAGGGTAGGGACAGGTAGGAGGAAACTCTTCTATAGACTGTTGTTGACAAATAAATACAGAAGGAAGAACATAAAATCATCATTTTGCAGTAATAACTAACTAACCTAAGCAAGAATCATTAAATGAATGCCAAAGCCATTAGTTGAAAGGCTGCTCTGCTCATGAACAGATTATTCACACAGTGCTGAAGTATCACCCTGGAGATGGATTATTTAGGAAATGCAAAACTAATAATGCACCCTTATGGTAGAAAATGCTAGCAGTCGCCTCTTTAATCAAGTGACCCAACTTGGCTTCACTAAAAATGGGAAGGCTATGAGTGAAGTGGGCTTCACCTAGAACTAATGTACCCCCTGATATGAGGCAACATGAAGTACTTAATACTACCACTGATGTGCTCTTGCCAAAAAAATATTTAATCTGGATCTAATCAAACCTCTCAACAGAATTCCAGTTTATAGGAAATATAGGAGAGAAAGCAACAAGTTAAAGCATAACATGAGGAAACTATCAAATCCAGAATACAGGATATTTTACAAAACAATTTGGCTGAACTTTTACAAAAGTCAATTTTCTTTAAAACATAAAATAAAATAAAAATGGAGGCAAGATGGTAAAGAAAAACCTACTACCTTAAAAATAAGTTAAGCAATAAGATAATTAAGCATAGTGCATAAACCTGGATGGACTATGATTCAAAAAAAGTTACAAAAACATTGTTGAGACAATCAAAGATATATGAATGTAGACTGAACATTAGGTGAAACTTCATGACATGTAGAAGACTGTCTTTATTTGAAAACAAGCATGCTCAAGTATTTTCAGGTGAAGTGTCATGGTGATAGCTTTAAGTATTTTCAACAACAACACACATGAACAAAATGTTAACAAATGTTGAATAAGTGAAAGGTTGAGAGTGTTCACTCTTTCAACAGTTCTGGATGTATAAACTTTTTCATAATAAAAAGTTGGGGGAAACTATTAAAATGCAAAATAAAATTCTGTTCTCAGAGACAAACCTCACTCAAAGAGTCTATGAACTCCAAGTTGAGAAACACTGGTAAAAGTTATTTGCCTTGCTTTGTTTTGTGCATGTACTTAAGTTGTAATATTGTACTATTGTTATGCAAGATTTTATTGGGGAAAATTGAAGGGTACATGAGATCTCCCTATACATTTTTCTGCAAATCCTCTGAATCCACCATAATTTTTAAAAACACACACACATTATAAATCTGCTGTCCTAGTGTCATCCATTTTGAGTACATCCTTAATCTGTTCCTTAAGCCTTCCCAAAACCAATCAAAAAAAAGACATGCTTTCCTTAAAAAGAGCTTTCAAAATCCTAAGGACAGTTGATTCTTAATACAACTAAAGTACTCACACACCAAATTTGAAGAGCCTTTACATCTCTTACAAATAAATGCCTCCCCCTTCCTAGACACCCTGGTTTCCTCCATAGTCCCTTGTCACCTCACCCCAGGATGAAATCTTAATTCTCAGCTGGTCTTGTTTTCCAGATTCACGTAATCAAGCAAAGCAAGCGAAGTAGGCCCACATCTTTGCATTGTCTGCAGCTAGCTCCAGAGCTAGATTCCTTCAGCCTGCCAATAGCTGACAGCTCCGGAGAAGAGCAGCCACACCATTCAACTTCCCACACCTGCTGCTCTTCTTGTTTTCTGGGCCTGAGGAATAACTAGTAGCCTGGTAACTGCCTCTCACTTTCACCTAAAGAGTCAGAACAAGTCTGTGATTTTTCCCCAAAACAACTATTTGCACCTTTTGCTTCTGAGAGGAAACTAAGTGGAGGTTAAAAAAAAAAACCATACAGAATCCTATTCTCATCAAGAGAACCCTCTCCAACAGCCCCTCCTGCTGGAGTTGGAACCAGAAGCAAATGCTGCAAAATCTCTCACTCAGCCTGCTCCCACTTGTTCCCACGTAACAGCCAGGCCAATGCCTACAAGAGCAAAAGAGGAGCTCAGAAGAACTTTGACATGCAGGCTTGGCAAGAGCATATTTTCCAGGCTGCCTGCTGCACATGGCCCTCTATCCATAAACAACACTTACTCTAGGCACTGACGTGCCCCATTCTATAGCTGAGGTCACTGTATGAAAACAGCAAAAAAGAAACATTACTGAGTGGCCAATATGGTAAATGGTTGATTGGATTTGTGTATGTTTGAGGACTAACCATCTGGTTTTCATTTTACCTGAATACATGGGTTTTGCAATAATTACTTTTAAAGAAGCCCCAAAAATACTTATATCATGCATGTATCCAACATTGCCTGATTCTTCAGGCAAGAAAATACCTTTTGTATACAATTCAACAAAAGTAGGATACAAAAGCATCCATTACACATAGTGGTATATATTTTACAGCTATGTTCACAGAACACCAAAGCACTAACAATAGCTATTATAAGGTAGCAGAAGGCCAGGCGTGGTGGCTTATCAAGCCTGTAATCTCACAACTTTGGGAAGCCGAGGCAGGTGGATTGCTTGAGGTCAGGAGTTCAAGACCATCCTGGCCAACACGGTGAAACCCCGTCTCTACTAAAATACAAAAATTAGCTGGGTGTGGTGGTGCACACCTGTAATTCCAGCTACTCAGGAGGCTGAGGCAGGAGAACTGCTTGAACCCAGGGGTGGAGGTTGTAGTGAGCTGAGATTCCACCACTGCACTCCAACCTGAGCAACGGAGTTAGACTCCGTCTGAAAAACATAAAAATAAAAATAAGGTGGCAGAAGTATATGACTTTAACTTTTTCTTTATATTTTTCCATAATTTACATTTCTTTTTTTACAGTGATCATTTATTGCACACTTATAATCAGAGCCAGGCTTAGGTGCAGAAGACCGCTATAGAGAAGGCAAATCCCATTTAGATTACATTAAAGATGGGAAAGAGGACGTATCCTGAATGGTCACAATAGCTGTGTCAGGGGAAACAGCACAGGCTGAACGACACTGCAAGGGTGAATACGCAGTTCATAAAATTCCAAAAAATTACATTTAAAGTGGTACCTACAAGTCTGTCAGTAAACAAGTCAAAAAGTGATCATAAAAATGCAAAGAACCTATTTTCCAACAACACCATTCCCAACACAGCACCGGCAAGATAAACGGCATTCTGAACGGAGACTTTGGTAGAAGATGTTATTGATCATTCTATTCACAGAGAGAGCACTTCATCAATGGCTCAACTATTGTATTTAAATTACAATAACCAAGAAGTTACTGTTTCTTCACCACTCTTTAAAATCATCTTAAATAGTATTTAACTGGAAAGCACCCAATTTCCCACTGAGCAGTACACCAAAATAGGATCACTATAATACAACAGCATAGTCTACATCAGAGTATGTTAAGGAGACTCTTTTGGCCATTCAAATATGCCATGGTATATACTCATTTTAAAGTATCCATTAATCTGTTTTAACAGAGAAAAGAAGGTGGCCACCTCATAAAATGTCACATCTTCAAATATTTATGAAAGACTCTATCAGCTGTCCCATGGTCCAGAGACAAGAGTGTTTTCTTATTCTTACTGACACATACTCATGCTGAAGATGACCACGCTGTCAAGAGACCAAGCAGAGAGCAAGGCAAAGAAGAAGATTTTGCTCTCTGGATAGACACCAGAGATCAGGCCAGCCATTATCTCACTTCACAGACCCCAGACTTGGAGAAATTATGGCTGGATTTAAAGTTATCCCCAGTCTCCAATGCTGCTGGTTAACTCTTTCTAGAATCTGTGAAATATGACGTTGAATCCTACTCAATTAGCAAGTTAGAGGCAAACATAAGCATAAAGTAAATTTTCAGATAAAAATAATTTAAAATGAAATTGATTTAGTTCATTACAATCTATGAATATTTTTAAAGAACTTAAATATGGGCTCGTGCATATATTACATGCACACACACAGGCACACATACACTTACTTTTTGTCTCAGTCAAGTTCTCCTCTTTCTCATCTAAAACTGCACAGTAAATGCTCATGCATTTTTTGCTACTAAATTTTGCCAACAATCTGCTCAGCATTCTAGCAGATGTTTCTGTTTTCCAACCTCTGGGAACTTGGCTGGGACTGTTTTCTTCTCCCATGTTAAAAATAAAAGAAATGGCACAAATGTAGCCTAATACCCTAGAGAAGCTTTTCTCCACTCGAAACCCTCAATCTCCCTATTCATGTGACCCCCAGGATCCCTTTTCAAATTTTTTCTTTTCCATTAGAGAAGATGTTTCCAATTATGGCCCACTACGCTGCCAAGGATGACATCACTCAGATGTGCGTGTGCACTGAGTGTGATCTGAGAAAATGCTACTGGTGTTCTGTTACGTGGACACCGTGTACAACAATTTAGGCTAACTAGTCCACCACTGGACCTATGAACCTACAATGTCACAGCAGGGCAATGTGTTCAAGTGATCAGATTTTCCAAACAGAGTAATACTCTATGTTGCTGGAGGAATCCTTATCTTCCATCTAACAATTTATTTAAAAACGTGTGTGACTTAATCTTACCTCAGTGACATCCATAACTTTGATGGCCGCCAACTGACCCGTTTTAACATGTCGACCCTGAAAAACAGAAAAAAAATCAATTCACACCAATGTTTATGCACAATCATTAGAACAAAATGGCTGGAGTTTCCAACAAATCATATCTCATCTACTTATCTCTTACTAACCAAGAGTGATGATGAAATAGTCCTGTGTTCTCCAATATAACAATAAGGTTTATAATAAACCACACTTAATAAGCAAGACAATTTTTAGAACAAGTGAGTTTTTGATAAAGTATCAATTGCTTCTTTCCTTCACAGGTTTAATTTACATAACATTAACTCCAAGAAACTGTTTTTTCTATACATTAGGTTGGCCATCCTTTCCTTTTTAACTTGCTACAGGAAAAAAAAAATGACCCCCCCAAAAACCCTCTAAACATTTTATTGTCAAAGATGGATAACTATAATTTTTCCCTTTGTATTCCCAATACCCATTACTTGATTTCACAAGAATCATATTAAAAGTCCTCTTTGAAGTTTTCCTGCAGTCCCAACGTAGGGACTGCAAGACAGAAACAAGCTAAAGCATAACATGAGCAAATCATCAATCAAATTCATTTTTTAAAATTCTTTCCCTCTTCCCCCCAATTTCTTTATACACTTCTTTAAAATTCTGGCGTTTTTTTAAAGTATATCAAGAACTGGGGGGAGGAGGGAGATAGGCTTCTTAGGGGTGTATTATAATGCCTTACCTAGAATCTAAAATTCTGTAATCCATTTATATCACTAGATATCAAACATCATTCTCCTTTCACTCAGATGAGAAGTACTAGGTTTAATTACTGTCAGTCTTGTTCCTCTCTATCCAGTCTTTGCAATGCCCTGCTGGTCATTTACCAGGCCAGTAGCAAAAAGCATCCAGGTACACTGAACATGATCTACTTAAGGACTTTGTGAGAAATGGTCCTTCTGCAACAGATGTAAAACAGAAAGAACATCCCCATATTTTCCAACAGCCTGTCTTTCTTGTGGTCTCATGATTTAAAGAGTTGTGAATTTTAAAACTTCAAATCTGAGGAGGAGAGTCTGTGGAGGAACTCAAGTTACAACGTTGACAAAGCAATTCTATGAAAATGACACTATATTACAACTATGACACTGAGTAACCATACCTGGGCAAGACACCGCTTGCTGTGCCTCAGGCAACTGTCTGTATGAGTGAGATCACAATGGTGCCCACTTCGTAGGACTGCTGTGTACAATTGTATGGCACACAGTCAGTGGTCAAGCACAATGCTGGAACCTTGTTTCCCTAAATTAATGAGAGCTCCTATCGTTGGAGCTAACAACTAATCAATTATTTTGTGATGAGGCCAGACCATGTGACAGCATCAGTCTTCATTATCACATACCAGGTCTCCAAATTAGGTCTATTTTTAATTTAAATTTAAATCAGAAAATCATCTAAGAATTCTGCCTCCCTCTTTTCAAACAAGACACTGTACCGGGAAAAAATGAATCTGGGACCCATGTAGCCTTGAGCTCTCATTCCTTTTCTATCACCCTATACTGTATTTCCTCAGGAAAGTTGCTTAACTTCCAGGAGTTTCCTAAGATCACTGGATGACCTCCTGTGTTCAGGTGCCTCACCCCTGTTCTAGTCAGGCAGGTGGCAGATAAAGTGCAGAGAGTCCGTCAGGCCCTAGCCCTAGCCCTGGCCCTGGCACACAGAGGGCTCTCAGCAGGGCTTCATCATTCCACTCCAACAAAGGCCCATGCCAATTCCCTGCTCCTTTTTCCTTGCAGACTGCAACTGTCTCAAATGTAGTCAATGTAGACCCATTTTTGAAAGGAATGGCCAATATAAGGGGAGGGAATGGGGGGGAGGGAGGGAGGGAGGGAGGGAGGGAAGGAAAAGGGCCAGGCGCACCTGTAATCCCAGTACTTTGGGAGGCCAAGGCAGGTGGATCACCTGAGGTGAAAAGTTCAAGACCAGCCTAAGCAACATGGTGAAACCCCGACTCAAATAAAAATACAAAAATTAGTTGGGAGTGGCAGCAGGCACCTGTAATCTCAGCTACTCAGGAGGCTGAGGCAGGAGAATCACTTGAACCCAGGAGGCAGAGGTTGCAGTGAGCTGAGATCGTGCCACTGCACTTCAGCCTGAGTGACAGAGCAAGATTCTGTCTCCAAAAAAAAAAAAAAAAGGCAAATTTCTAAATTTGAAACTAATAGTAATTATCTATCTGCAAAGCAAACTTCTAAGTTTGAAACTAATAGTAATCATCTATCTGCTGAGATGGGTCACCTTTGTGTAACGGAACCAAAATGGCCAGGAAAATAGTCTTGGAAGAAAAACTAAAGCCAGAACTCAATGTACTGAATGTTCATATGCATACAATTGTATGCTAAAGAAGCTACACAAAGAGTTTTAAAAGGACAAAAGTTTGCCTGTGGTTTATTAAATACTACCCAAAAGGGAATATACTGACTCTTCTCTCAGGGTGCGCTACAAGCTTAAGACTGCCCAAGCTGGGTGGCCCAATTCATGAGGGAGAACTTACCACACCTCTCCTGGCATCTCTTTAGCTACAACACATGACCTTCCTTCATACCACCTGAAGAGTATTTGAAGAGAAAATGAAAATGTACATAAGCATAAATGGACTACATTATGCTGGGAACTTAAGGCCACAGAAAAAGGCATTACTCACTGACTTTTGGGGCTAGACTCCTATCATTTCATTCCATTTTGGCCTCTACAATGACTCTTAAAGGCTGCTTCATGCAGCCTGCTCATTGAAGATGAGCAATATAATCATGTTCCTTCACCTAACTCTGGATTACTGGATCACTCTGGATCCACCCGATGTTGGATCACTCAACCACCTAACTTGTGCATGAAGAGATTTTGAACTTAATATTTAACATGATCTTTTTTCCCTTGTATCATCCATTCTTAAGATATACCAATAAATTACTTGTCCATACCTAGCATCCATGTTACTCTCTTGTCCTATTATCTACATTTCTTGGGCACAGTATCCTATCCAGGGTTATAAAATGCCAGAAGGCAGAGATTAAAGATTCATGGCTTGCTTTATTTATACAGCACCATGTAAACATTAATGTGTTTATGAGACAATTAGTGATAAAAAGACCCCAAAGACTATTCACATCTATTTTCTCAACAGATCCTAAACAACCCTATGAGGACAACAAAGCAGGTCACTAGCCTATTCTACCGATGAGGAACTTTGAATTTTCTTCAGTTATCTGCCCACAGTATAATGGCAGCAGGATCCCCTTTCCACAGTGATTTCACATATATACTTCAAGAGAGGGATTCCTACTGTTTCTACTAACTCGTCAAATTCCTATCAAAATATTTTGTTTCCAAAGAAACAGCTTAAATTATTTCCCCCATGCTTTTAAGGGTTAGCAGACACAGCACAATTTAGAATTAAAATTTTTCTTCCAATCAACATCATTTTACATAGCTTGAATGCCTCAAATAATCAGGACCACTGTCCCCTTTGGTAGAGCAAGCTTCTTAGTTTCTGGTTCATTTTTAGTCTTTAAATTTCAGGAAAATGTATGTTTCTTTTTTTAAGAAGAAAACTCAAACTATTCTTAATAGAGGTTCAGGCTGAAGAAAATGGCCTGATTTTCAACTCTCCTTTATGTTCCTAACCAAGTCAAAATTGCCACCTCACACTTGCAAATAAACGATACATGTTCCTAGAAAAACCATCCCACGTGGTTTTAAATGCAGGGTACTATGGCAGCCTATCTAATGAAATCTGTCCCTGTCCCACAGAGAGGAGCTTAGAGGTAGAAGGAACAGCATTCAAGAGAGGCTTTTAAATCCCAAAAGCGGTGGCCAAGTGCAGTGGCTCATGCCTATAATCTCAGCATTTTGGGAGGCCGAGGTGAGCGGATCACATGAGATCAGAGGTTAGAAACTAGCCTGAACAACATGGTGAAACCCCATCTCTACTAAAAATATAAAAATTGGGCTGGGCACGGTGGCTCACGCCTGTAATCCCAGCACTTTGGGAGGTCGAGGTGGGTGGATCACGAGGTCAAGAGATCGAGACCATCCTGGTCAACATGGTGAAACCTCGTCTCTACTGAAAATACAAAAAATTAGCTGGGCATGGTGGTGCACGCCTGTAATCCCAGCTACTCGGGAGGCTGAGGCAGAAGAATTGCCTGAACTCAGGAGGCAGAGGTTGTGGTGAGCCGAGATCGCGCCATTGCACTCCAGCCTGGGTAACAAGAGGGAAACTCTGTCTCAAAATAAAAATAAAAAAATTAGCCAGGCGTAGTGGTAGGTGCCTATAATTCCAGCTATTTGGGAGGCTGAGACACAAGAATTGCTTGTACCTAAGCCAAGATTGCACCACCACACTGGGTAACGAGAGAGAGAGAGAGAGAGAGAGAGAGAGAGAGAGAGAGAGAGGCAAAGATGGCAATGTTCCTATCTACCCAAATGTTCTACTATCACTAAAGACTAGGTAACTTCATGCTGCATAATCTTTACCTAAATTCCAATTACCCCATTACAACACATTTGAAGATGAAGTATGTTCATTGAGAGGCAAATTCCACTGGGTCTCATCCATATTAAGAGGAACTTTGAGGAGTGAATGAATTCAAGAAATGAAACACCCTTTGCCTCAGGACTCCAATCTGAAGAGGTGGTCTAATACCAACCACTCTATCAAAAAGTTTCACCACTCATCCTCCAACCTTCCCTCACAGAGTCTTCATATTAAATCGTACCACCACCTCACATCTTAGCAAGAAAGTGCACATGACTCAACAGCACTTTTTCCATTCATAGTGCTTTCTCCCCTAAATCTTGCCTTTTTTCAGAATCATAACTTTTGTACTCATATAGCCTAAGAATAAATAGGAGACAAGAAAAGTTTATCATGTTTATGACACTATATCAGATATAAACAAACAAATTAGGAATAGCAAATGTCTTCGTCCCTCAATAGTCCAGAGGGGTGCACACGACCAGCCTAAACTCCAGCACGCATATCCTGTGACACTGGAAAGCAT